TCAACACCTTGTGATCACACAAGTTGTGTGTACTTCTTCCACGTGGGCTTTGTTTCTCAGCTAGGTGGCTGCTTGTTTATCTTCAAGCTTTTATGCAAGTTTCCTGGTCACTCTTATCAGTGCAGCTTTCCATTTTCTTAAGACTTTTTTCTAATAAGCCTTCATGGTTATCCTGTGACCAAGAAAATTTACCAAGATTACCAGTTCCCTGCCCCCCTTGGGAATCCCAAATAGTCAACAGAACTTTCTGTACTGACTCCTCTGCCTTGAATTGGTCCTGTTTTGATTGGACCTTCACACTCAAGGCACCCTAATGAGACTGAGACAAGTATATTACCAAGGGTATGTCTGACTACATCCACTGATCTCTGACACATGCTTAAATATGTTTTGATTGGAATAAGCCCATATATATGTATGAAGAAATCCCTCAATGAAATACCTCCTTCATCATGACCTACCCTCATATAATCAAAATTAGTAATATCCTTTGCATGCAATTAACTGCTGCTCATAAATCTGTGCACGAACACGAATAATGAAGCTTTTGTAAATAATAGATTTAAAATATATCACTAACAAGTGCATCATTATGTTTTTTTCTTGTGCCTGTATTATTAAAAATCAATTCCGATTCCTGATTTCAAACATATCTTTATTAGGTTCTAGCTCATTACTTTGGTTCTTCTTCTTATATCAAAAACCTCCATTAAAGTAGTTTAAAAGATTTTGACAACTTAGGACTTTGTTGGAGAAAGGGCATCTTTTCTGGTCCAAAATTAAAAACATTATTTTTAGATTTATATTCTAAAGATAAAAATTTATATGAGAATGATCAATTTAACAATATTTTTCTTTTCAACGTGCTTTTTACTCATTTCCTAGTATGCATAATTACTTTCAGTATTTTACCACTTATGAATGTTTTAGGTGCACAGAATCATACATGATTTCGATCACAAGCTCCTCTAGCAAAATGAAATGGTCAAGTTTTTACCACAACGCCTTATACAACTAAGTCCTCCCTCCTTATTGAATAAGGAAATGAGGATCTTATTTCCTACTGCTGCTTACAAATGTAATGCAATGTTTGCCCAATGATTCTTGAGTTTAATAAATTACCTAAATTCAATTTCACCATCATTGTTGAAGTCTGTTGTTTTCAGGTGCTGTCCCTTCAGTTTGGTCTCACTGAAACCAAGCCCTATGTGCAACAGAAGGACACAGTTCCTAGCGCTACATCATCCTCACAATTGCTCCTAGGTTTGTTTGAGCCCGCTGTTGCAGCCCCTATGTCAATCCATCACATTCAGAGTTTTCCTCTTTTCCATTGCCCCTCCACTTAACCAATCAGGAGGGCCTTCCCCAAGGATTGGTCACTCCAGGTAGTATGTCCAAAGTACGTGAGACAATCTCACCCTCTATGCATCTAAGGAGCATCCTGGCCGTGCTTCTTCACAGAGAGAAATGTTCTTTCTTCTAGCAAAGCATGGTACATATGATCCCAGAGTACTTAATTCTTCAGGCTTCCTTATTCACTAGTCAGGTTCCACATCCATACGAGGGGATAGAAACACCATATTATAAATGACTTGAGTTAGGCACACACTAGTCCTCAAAGTGACATCTTTGCTCTTTCACATGTTAAAGTCATCTTTTGCAGCAGCTCTGCCCAAATGCAATATGCTTCACTTGACTTCTTGACTGCTGCTTCCACGAGGGATGACTGTGTATTGAAGCAAAATCAAATCCTTGGCAACTTCAATATTTTCCATTTATTACAATACTGTTTATTGACGTAGCTGTGAAGAAGGGAGGGAAAAGGAAAGTAGGAAAGGGAGAGGAAAAGACCCAAACATTTCCCAACTGCTCAGGAATCCTGCTGTTTTTATTAACCACATATGCGTCAGCAATTACATGGGAACTGGAGCTACAACAGTTTAACTAGCCCCACCCAAGTGACCGACCAAAGAAACCATGAGAGAGAAAAAATGATTATCGCTGTTGTTCTAGGCCACTTAGTTTTGTGGTCATATTTGTAATGTGACACAAAAGTACCAGAACAAACAATATCTTACATCCAATTTTAAACTGTAACCTATAGTACTTTTTGTTCTAATACCCAATCATTACAATAAACCTTTGATAAAATATGCTATGTTTATCACAGGATAACAAGTATTAGACGAAATTTCCAGATGGGAAAATGTCCATAATTGTAAAAATTTAAGTACAAAGAAAGAACTATGTATAAATAAAATGACAATTACATAAGCCCATGGAGCACTTAAAAAACAAAGCAAATGCATCAAAACGCTCACTAGCCGTGCTTGTAATATAAATTAGTGGTATACAAGAGATATTTTTTAATTTTCCTTTTGCGATTCATCAACCTAGGGTCCAAATCTAATCAATTATGTAATGTATTATAAAAACTTTGAATTTTAAAAGTAGGTCTTTTCCTCCACAAAGATGAAAAGGCCTCAAGTTTAGACCCGCATCCTTTATCAAAACCCACTTCCTTATCTATGGTTTTACCTGCTGATCTCACACGCCACTCGCCCTTTCATCTCTATGACATCAGAAGAGGTAGCAAACCCCAGCCTTCTTAAAACACGTTTGCGACACTTGAGCTCATCCACCTGTAGGACGGTCCTTGCTTTCTTCAGTTCTCGCTTTGCAGATTTAATATCTAAGGCAATCTAAGGACATAAGAATAGAGAGGAAGTGAGTCATGTAAAATAGGATTTACTCAAAAATCGACTATTTTATAAGGGCAACTTTCCCAACATACTGTGCTGTGTACAATTCAGTGCAAAAAAGAAGCAAGATAAGAGCTTCTTAGATGCCTTTCCTGGATGTTACTCAAGAGGAATGATGAACCAGAAAACTACTACCTTAAAAACCACCATTCACCTCTGCTTTTCATACTATGGTGGCTGGCAAGTTACTGTGATGTGGGAAGCTATGGCACCAGTATTTCAAACACCAGCAGGGTCACCCATGGTGGACAAGTTTCAGCGAAGCTTCCAGAGTAAGATTAGGAAGAAAGAAGAGATGTCTACTTCTGAGGGACTAGACACTAAAAACTTAGGAGTAGCAATGAAGCACTGTCTGACACGGTGCTAGATGAGCTCCAAAGGCAGCAATGGGGTCCACCAAAAGAAAACCCTCTGCCAGCAAGTGGATTCCATAGGACAGAACACAGCTGCCCCAGGGGGCTTGTGTGGCTGTTCAATTGTAACGGATGCAGAAAGCATCAGCTTTCTTCCACGGAGCAGCTGAAGGGTACAAAATGCTGATTGTGCAGGTAGCTGCCTAAGTCATGACCCACTGCACCACCAGGACTCCTTAATACAGCTCATATCATGGTCTACAGTTAGTTAACCTGTTTTTCTGTTCTTTCCCTCCTGATAACCAGTTTCTTTTCAGTCCTTTGCCCCAGAAAAGTATCTAATCACAGCTGCAGGAGCTGAAAGTTTACAAAAAATGATAACTAGTTAATGTTCCTGTTTCAGTTGAAGAAACACATGGGAAAACAACAAAATTTCATTTATTTAATATACAAAATTCTACCATAAAAAAATTGTCATACCTGTGCTTTTTTTTCACAAAGCGTATACACAGTTTCCAAATTTGGATCATTGTGAAGTGGATGAGAATACATTCGATGCTCAAAAGCCTCCACTTTCTGGATGACTTTTTTCAGTCCATGGTCTTGGATACCCATATCGTCAATGGGGTCCAATAAAGGGACACCATCTGGAAAGCGCTTTTGCACTTCCTAAAATGAAGTATTTAAAGTTTCACTTTTCACCATGTAAACAAAAGTATTATGAAGACTAACACAATTCAATAGTTCCTTTTAGTTTTCTTCCCATATACACAAACATAAAAATGAAAGTTTAACCTTAAAAATACGATTGTAAATATATTCACTGCTTAAATGGGAAGCATTTTCTGATTATATCTGTCTTGAAAATTTCCCCCCTATATGATTTACTGACATAGAAATGTATGAAAGGGCTTCAAAAATCCTTGGGGGGAAAAAATCCATTATCTCCTCATTCCATTCATCTATGAAACGTTTTGAAAGCCCCCTATATTAAACTTATTAATAAGATGTAGTATATTATACATTTCAGTAGTTCTGGATGTGGGGCAACATACTGGTAAACCCAGTAGTGTATATTTAAGTTGTAACATTTTGCCTTCGTTAAAACTCCTGCATTAAGTATCTCCAGTGCAAATGGTTTCCCATGTTCAGACTGCTTCATTTGGGTATATTGCTAAAGAAAGACAAAACTGAGTCAAAAGGTAATTATTGAATAAAATAAGCATCATGTGTTTATCTCATGATAAGCTTCTTCAGAGATTTTCAGGTCTTGGATAGCCTTAACGGTATGATATGGTAGGCAATCAGGTGAGGCGAGGAAAAGAGCATGCTAAGAGTAAAGTGACTTAAATGCAAACGATTCAAAGATATATGACTAAGGGTGTTCGAAATAAACCTATAATACAAGCTGTTTCAAAAGGTTGATATCTCTGTTAAGTACCTAGAATAGTTTCCAGATCTGTTTGCCCTACATAAAAGGAGCTATATTTTCAGAACAAGATGGCAAAATCATAGAGTTTAATCTGACCAACTTGTACATATAAAGAATATGAGCCACAGGCATGGAATTTAGGAGAAAAGAAAACTTTACTTCTAAAGTTTAAAGAAGTACAATTAAGTATCAGAAGGGAAGTCGATAGTCATAAGATGAAAGCTTTAATTAGCAGACTCGTTTTCTTGATTCCTTCTCATCTGTTTTCTCAATACAGAGGACTGAGAAGTCTAATGAAGACAGTCCAATCTCATTTAAATGATGAAGCAAAACTGAGCTTTAGAGAGATTGCAAGTAAAGTTCACGTCAAAAGTGAAATATTTTTGACAGAGCATTTGCCAATAACTTCAAGAAAAATTCATTTCAACTGAAGTTTCAGTTTTGAAAATTGATACTTGACCAGATTCAAAAGAACAAACTAATCAACTTTTCAGAAGTGTGGCATTATTTAAGTTGTGCCATTATTTTGAAAACACTGAGAAATCATTGTTAGTAGGACTTACAAGTCAATGAACTTGTAAGATATATTTATACCAATACCACCAGATCAATGGTCCTGAAGCCTTTTAAGGATATTTGTTGTTCTGCTGAGTATCAAAATGCACACAAAGTGTTTTATACAGCTGTCAAGAGAATCATTCACTTCAGTAACCTCACCTATGAATCTCTAAAGCTGCCATTCTACATGGGAAGAATTTTCTCTCTCTTTGTTTTATGAGGTTCTAGAACAGTCACTCATGATACAGTAAATGCTACTCAAATGTTTTGAACTAAATAAATTAAAAAGTCATATTTTTAACTGGGAAATATTTTTCTAGAAAGCTTTGATTTTCCCTATGAAAAGTGAAAATTGTTTTTATCTATTTATTCAGTAGACTAAAAAATAGCTATTTAGCCCTGGCAAATGATTCTCCATACAAGACTTAAAATATGACCTAAACAGGTTTTCATTCATAACAAATAAAAATGTTTAGCATTTAATGGTGACAATTAATAATCCATGGTTTTAGTAATTTATTGCTGGATTCAAAAATCGAGGGCAACTAATAATTAGATCTGCCATTACTGCTTTTACTTTTAAAAAGATTGCCAATATCGATAGTTTAGATATAATAAGCATTCCTGAGATAGCAATATATTTAATAGCCTTTTACTTGTCTTTTTAATAAAACGTATTGTTTAAATTTGATTTACACAATTAACACACATACCTGTATTGATTTTAAAACACTCTGCCTATTGTCCACTGGTCGAAGGTCTTTAGGAATATAAAGCCTAACACTGCTGATAGCAGACAGGAGATGGATCAAAACTGGAACAACCTACCAATAAAAAGTTACACAATATTACAATTTAAAAGTATATATTTTAAAATGATGCCATTTGAAATCTTAACTAGGATTCTTAAAAAAAAAAAAGCTGCACTCAATGCATGACAATATGTTATGCTGTGATGGCTTAAAAGTTGCTACGATGGTAGAAACTATGTCACTGCTACTTCAAATGTCAGGAGGGTCACCCTGGAAGGCAAAGCTTCCAGTTTAAGAAAGACTAACAAAAAAGCCTACCAATGTACTTCTAAAGCGTAGCCCCACCCCACCCACCCCCCCAAAAATCCTATGGATCATAGACTATTACCCAATATTTCAAATTGGCAACTTTGGCTGGATTGTCAGAAAAGGCCTGGTTGCTGGAGAAGACCACCATATTTGGTAGTAGGCCAGCAAAGGTGAAGGAAACTCTCTGGGAAATGGTATGACACAATTGGGGACTCAACCCCCAAATGATCATGAAGACAACACAGGACCAGGCAACACTTCATTCTGTCACACATGGGGTTGCCAAGAGTTGATGGTGGCTAACAATGGGGCCTTGGAAAGTTCCAACATTCCTGGGGGTTTACAAGGCATTCACATGCATGGGGTTGAATCCATATGCAGGAAACATGAGGGTAAGTATAATAGTGTTGCTATTAAGGTTGCAGTTCATACATGCAAAGGTTTATTCCAAATAAAATGTGCTTAAACATGCCTCTGCCATCAGTGACAGGTTCCCAGGGTATTCGCTGGGCTAGTGCAATTCAAGGCAGAGTGAAGCCCACTAAGGTGGTTATGGTGTGTGTGTGTAATTCCAAGAAGGACACAGGACAATAATGAAGTCATTAAAAATCTTAACCCTGTAACGCCGAGCGCGACGTTTTCATAACATTTAATTAAATGTATCTGGTACCAAAATTATAAAGCTTTTGGAGCCGACAAAGATGTCGACGAAATCGTTGCACTTTACTAGTACAAATGCATACCGCAGGTCATGCATTTTAGCGGCAAAATGCTTGAATAGTGGCACATGTTTTGACCAATTGTGCATTTGAAGTTAAGCGGTCATTTGCATTCAGTGCATTTTACGATAACTTTCAATCTAGTGAAGTTTGAGTGTTGATGTTGTTTGTATATGTTCATAAAACTGTAGTTTAATGTCAAAGGTGTAATACTCATAAAAAGACATTATATTTATTATATATTTCTGCTTTTCCAAAACATAACAAATTCGTTAGGTTTGTCTTTTGAATCGACGGTGACAAAAATCACCACAGCATGGATTGTGATTTGTTTTATGGAAAACGGCAAATTTATGACCTAGATGGAAATGGTACAGACTCAGACAAGGAATCAGATGCAATATGGATGAAGTGGTAAATAAAATGTGTATTACATTAAAAAAAAATTTTATAACATAACATTTTGATTATATTGCTATTCAAACTATTTTGATAACAATATTTTTCCCATGATAGGAAGGTGAATATATGCCTGATTATTCTAATTTGGATGAATTAGAAGACCTTGTAGTTAGTAATGATAATACTAGTGAAGATGAGTTAAAAACTTCAGTTGTTGAAGTCAAAGAATCAATTCCAAGTTCAAAGCCATTTCCACCAAGAAATCAAAGAATTCCTCTTTGGTACCAGACGGTACAGCTAGACCTATGCCTGAATGGTTAGGACAAATAGATTCTTCTGGAGTAGTAAAACGTCCTGTTGAATATTTTAGACATTTTTTTTCAAAGGATATCATTGCTCATATTGTCGCTCAATCAAATCTTTATGCAATCCAGCAAAATTCCAATAAGCCTCTTATACTGAGCAGCCAGGAACTTGAGCAATTTTGGGGTACACTGCTTGCTATGCCGATGGTGAAGCTCTCAAATTCACGTTTATATTGGAAGAGCAAACTAAACTGTCCTATTGTATCGGAAGTGATAAGTAGAGATAGATGGGAAGATATATAGTCCAAGATTCACTTCCATGATAATTCACAAATTCCCAAAGTCTGCAAGAGTTCAAAATGAGCATCACCGAAGCTCTTCATCTTGAAGGAAAAAGTAATAGAGCAACAAGAGGCAGACCTTCTGCTAGCTTTACTGATGCTGAGTTTGCTACAAAAAGAGAAGAGGTCCTGCCACTAGAAGTCTCCCTGGAAGAGATACCCATTTGGATGGTCTTCACCATTACCCTGAGGTCACAGAGGAAGATGCAAAAATGTAAATTGCAAGAGTGCACCAGTATTTTTCTGCAGTAAATGCAAAGTTGAGCTTTGTATCACAAAAGAAAAAAAATTGTTTTCTTTAATTTCACACTAA